TGTCCCTCTGGGTAGAGTCCCGTGGCATCACAGGTCACGGCAACCTCAGACTCTTTAGGCTTAAACAATTCCCCAGCCTCAGCCTCCCAAGTAGCTGGGACTACAGCACCCACCACAATGCAGGCGATTTTTAGAGACAAGGTCTTGCTCTGGCTCAGGCGATCCACCCACTCTGGCCTCCCAGAGTGCTAGGATTACAGGCGTGAGCCACCATGCCCGGCCCCCAGTACACCTTTAAGTGTTGCTAGAAAACAGCACTAGCGTTCTGTGAAAGCACTCGCTCAGGTGAACACTGCAGAACGCTGCGGTGAGCACTGGGTTAGCTAGTTCACACTTTGTAGGACTCGTTGCCAAAGTTCTTTGGTATTAAACTCTGCACCAGTGTAAAATGGGCTGTATTGTTGTTCTTCTAAGAACTTAGCATGTTAAACTTCTTTTAGAGTTTGCGTTGTAACACAGCCCCTGGCTGCCTCAGAGGGATGATTATGCCCCATGCCGGGGGATCATGAGGTCATGTCTAGTGGGCTCGATGAGGGGAGGGCCTAAGACATTAGGGGTTTGGGACATAAACTAAGGTAGAATACAGAGCATGCTGGGCCAGGAGCTAGGAGAAAGATAGTGGCCCCAATAGTAGCCCTGTAGGACAGTTAGGCAGTTATTTGAAGGCAGGTCTTCTCTCCAAGCTGGGTCTCATTTATAAAATGAACTAGGGCTCAGTCTCTAGCTGCAAAATTTGTTGCCTTGTGGGAGCCCTACATCTCCATGGGGGCAGGGATATTGATCTGCCTTATTTATTGATGTATCTCTGAGTCTTGTCACAGTATCTGGCTCAGAGTCAGGGCTCAGGGTTGGGTGGTTCAGTGTTGGAATGGCCTGGATGACCAGGATGGAGGGGGCTGAAGTTCAAGTGCTGCCCCCTTCTGGTTACAGTAGAGCAGTGCCGGGTCTGTAGCCACCGCCACCTGGTGTGTCAGGAAGGTCCCCACCAGAAACTGAAGGCTGTGACTGCCTGCTGGCTTTTGTAGTAGGCTCACTTTCTTGCAGTCACAACTGAGTAAAGTATTAGTATTGGAAATGGTTTTTCAGCAAGTAGGCAGGAATAGAGAAACTTAAAAAAATGTTTCTCAACTATTAAAACCCAGCTCTTGGCCAAGTGCAGTGGCTCACACTTGTAATCCTAGCACTCTGGGAGACTGAAGCAGGTGGGTCCCTTGAGCTCAGGAGTTCAAGACCAGCCTGAACAAGAGTGAGACCCCATCTCTACTAAAAATAGAAAAATCAGCTGGCTGTTGTGGCAGGTGACTGTAGCCCTAGCTACTCGGGAGGGTGAGGCAAAGAGGATGATTTGAGCTCAGGAGTTTGAGGTTGTTGTGAGCTGGGATGATGCCAAGGCACTCTACACAGGGTGACAGAGTGTGACTCTATCTCAAAAAAAAAAAAAAAAA